ATACACTGGGGCGTTACTCTTTTGGTATAATTTTGCTGCTACAGTTATACTGTTATAAATTACTAGGTTTCCAAAGCAACATATCATGAGTAATTCCATTGAAATCAATGACATAGGGAATAAAAGAATCAATTCACCATATCCAGTTGTCTCTGGACACTGAATTACTTATTTTTTTTTCCTAGGAAAAACAATGGAAATAAATAGTATCATGAGTAATTCCATTGAAATCAATGATATAGGGAATAAAAGAATCAATTCACCATATCCAATTGTCTCTGGACACTGAATTACTTATTTTTTTTCCTAGGAAAAACAATGGAAATAAATAAATCCAGTAGTAATAAGCCAAAATTACTATAATACAATTACCTGCTTAAGTTTAAAGCAGTCTATTTTGAAAAGAAGCAGCAAGTCTGGAGCAATTCATTATTTTTGTTGACTTACTCCAGATGTTCAGAAATTACCAGCTGTTTCCATTCACTAGTATATAGCTATACTGAGCATGCCAAGCATCAGCAGGGGTTTGCTGCCCTCTTATGTTTTATACAAGCAACTTCAGTGATTGCAAACACTCCTTGGTGACAGATCACTTGTGAAAGCTTCTCAGGCTACACATTGTTCAGAAAGTAAGCATGCCCCCTAAGATAACTAAGGACTTAATTCTTCAAAAAGGTTAATAGACACTTTAAGGCGGTGAACTTACTAACAGCAATGAGCAGACCCAAAGACATACCGGTGCACCTTCCCCTCAGCTTTTGTTGAGACAGCTCAGCCTCACTGAGCTGATCTTGCACGGCACAAACCTGATTCAAGCTTCTTTTGTTTTGGCCAGACAGATATTGTTAATCAATTGCTGTCTACAATACCACCAAAAAGAAAAAGAAAAAAGGCTGGTTAGCATCACAGAAAAATAAGCATGAGCTGTATTAATAGTCTGTCTTACCTCCCGGGAATGTCATCCAGTTAACAATCTAGGTACTTACCCAAATAAAAGGACCAATTAAAAAAAAAACCAAAACAAACCAAAGCAAAAACGTCTGCAAAACTGGAGACATCAAAATATGGCATATTCCTATTTCCTTTACTTGGATACTCCAGTGACTACTTCTCACACTTACAAGTTGACACCTATTAACTAAAATGAAGTTTTTTGGGGGTTCTAGCAATCACCTTATGTTTTCTTTCTTGTCTGGTTAACACTGTACTATGTTATTTTTCTTCTTGGGCAAGTATTTCTAACCCACAAAGAAGTCCCTTCTTGATCTTCTAAACAGATTGCTTGGTAAATCTTCTCTGGAAACAAAACCTGATTCTATATTAAGATGCATTTTGTTAGTTTGTTTTTAATTTCCCTATTAGCAGCAATGGGATATACAGTTTAAATATTTTTTTTTTTATACTAATTACTCAGAGGAAAACATCTGGGAGAGATTTATGCGCCTTTTTTGATACATAAATTAGGATGCATAAGAGATGGGCCACAGAAATAGCAATGTCTAAAGATAACATGGAATTTTAGATTACGTTTGAATGTTGGTATCAGAAAGCATTAAATACCTTATTGAAGTGCCCCATATTTAGAAAAGTAATCCATTGCAACAGTAAGTATTGATATCAGTACAGAAAAAAGCACCCAAGCCTTTCATAATGTGAAATTCTCAATTTATTTTATCAAATTATCCTACAATGCAATTTTTCAGAAATCAGTTTCAAGATGATACATAAGAAAACCTTCAGAGAATTAGCAAGTTAGTGCACAAACCAATCATTTTCTCAATCTGGTCATAGATGCAGAGGTAAAAAGGAGTCTAAACATCTCATACTAGTTAATAACAAGCATCCCTTCTTATTGCAGACACCCAAATGCCTAGAGGCAAGGCACATTTTGGCACTGTGGCCTACTTCAGTAAAACTGGATGAGTGCTCCCCATTTCTAGGGGCTGCAAAAGCCCATGTAAAAAGAGAGTTGAGAGCAGATCCACGCAGCAAACAGAACCTTGTAGAAATAGCTTACTTGTCAACATCCAAAAGTGCACTACTCCTTTACCGAACACAGAAGCACGATCCCAGAGCTTCAAGTCCAGTTTCAAATGGATGTGACAAAGGAAAAATAAATAAGAGGACGTGGTGAGGAAGGATGGATGTGCCAGGACCCCTCACACCACCTAGATACACTCAAATGTAGTTAATGATATTACAGTAATATTTTTAAAAGAACTCTACCTCGTGTAGGTGAGAAACAGCTAAATTGCACACAGAGCAGAGATCCCTGAGCTAGTGGAGACCTAGTTAGAAAATTCACATGACACACTGCAAAGCAATGTGGACCTATCCAACTAGGTCTAGAGGAAGTACTGCTACTTTTTCAGCTAATAAATATTGCTTACTAGCTCCCATTCCAGACCACGTGAATGATGGATCGTATTTGCTAGTGTATAACCCTGAAGTTCTGGTTCTACGGCTTGCATGAGGGCAGCCAGGTTAGATCTGCATTTGTTACTGTAGATGTAGCCAAGAACAAAGTATTCATACTTAGTGCATTAATCTCAGATAGTACTGGAATCAAGCCATCAGGATCCACAGCTGAGTTACTTTCTACAGAACATACGAATTTGACTTTTCTGGACAGTTTTCCCATCTGCTGACCCAGAAATTTATGATCATAGGTTGAAACCTGCCAAGTCAAGATGCATTTGATTTTGATAACATTCACTCAAGTGAATTTTCCCCATTAGAATAATTTCCCATATTCCCTTTCTAAGGAAGTTGGAAAAAAAAATGCCTCTCTTAGTTGGTAATTAGCATTAAAATAGTCCACACAGTAGAGTAAGTGTGTGGAAACAGCAAAAATCTTCCCAAATGTTTTGAAGAGCTAGTAAATAAATATGGAATGTGGGTCTACAGCTTTGCAGAGGGAATCAGTTATTCACTGTCTCATTTCTGCTATGCCATTTTCCTACCCCATTTTCCCTCTGTGCTATAAAGTGAACTAACTTAAAATCTTGTAGCAATGTGTAAACCACTCTGGACTGGGAATGGAAAGAGACATTGTTTTTTAGGACAGAGCTTGGAGACATCAACTAGGATATAGCATAAGAAACTTAACTCTAGACATTAATGGAGTTGATGAAGTCTAAGTGCTGGATATAAAACAGTTAAAAATCCCCAAATCAAAACAGATGCACTGCTATTAACTGACAGAGCTTCAATAAAATTGGGAGAAAAATCACGTCTCCCAGCCCTTAATGCCGATTAAGACTTCCCTAGCAAATTGCAATTTGTTTATCTTGAGGAACTTAAATGAGTTGAACTTCAATAATGTTCCACAATGAAATCTTATGGAACAGAAAACTCATGCTGATATAAATCAGATCAGGTTAAGAATTGATTTAGTTAAGAATCAGCACTTGGCTGCTATGCACATACTTTTAATTTAGTTTGAAGTGCCTGATACCAATTTAACTTAAGATCATTACAGACTTTAGCTAGAGCTGAAAACTTAGATTTCAGTGCTTACGTCATTAACCACCTAAGGCAGATACCAGTATCAGCACTGACACCAGTATCCAGCAGCACCTTATTCAACATCATAATCCATCTCTGTATTCAGTGCTGGGCACTATCAGCACAAGGATTCCAAAAGAACAAGCGAAAAACATTGAGATGAGGTGCTTGCTTCCCAGGAAATCATTTAGACACTCCTTTCAGACAGTTCTGACCATTTAACAACACACAGAGGCTAAGTAAAGGAGCTGCAAGATGACTCTATACCTTTAAGAATAGCAGCTGTGTTTGTAAAGTTTTATATAATAAAATTAAGATGCTTATCGAAGTCGTTATACAATTCCCATCAATGAAAGCAAAATCCACCACAGCATTACTGAGTAACAGCTCAAGACTTCTCCAGAACTGCAGAACAGCTAGGAGAGATTCTTAGCTCTACAGTTCTGGGAGCACAATCTTCTGTGCTTGTCTAAGGAAACAAGCTACAAAAAAAAACAAAACAAAACAAAAAAAACCAAACCCAAAATCAAGGAAACGTGGTCATATGTCTTAGATATCACACCACAGCTCGTGCCACAGCAGTTGTGGGAAACCATCAGCTTAAGGGTATGTATTTTTGTACTTGCTGGGCTCCAATCTCTGCAACATAGACTGCTCCGCTCTTCATGTCTACATCCACAAGATGTGGTTTGGTTTCATCTGCCAGCTGGACTGTGTTGACCATAACGCAGTCCCCAATAGAGCCAACTGGTGGTGCTGCCAAGATTGCTAACCGGTTCATATTCATCTGAGCTACAATCAGGTACTCGTAATTGGCAGTAAATCTGTGAAAGACAGAAATATATTTTTTGAATTATGAACTCCATATGACATCTCATTTTAACACAACCATGCACAAACAAAGCCTTCTTAATAGTCAAGGTTTTGAAGGCTACAACAGACTAAATGCAGTGAAACATTGAGAATCAACTTGTAAGCCTTGCTCAACAAGGTGCTGCTCCTGGAGACAGATTATGCTACAGAAAACTCAAATTGAAGACAATCTCTCTTCCTGTAAAAGCTGCAACAGTAAGGCCAACAACACACAACTTTAAAATGAAGTTCCCAATCCTGGACTCAAATACATGGGGCTTCTAAAGCCAGGATTTCCCTGTCAAGATACAACTGTGCAGATCTTTGCGTATGATCAGGGCTCAGCACCCTATTAGTTAAACTGGTTAGTTCCTTGTCATTAGGTGTGAAATATCAACGTTTTAATTCACCAGTAAGAGTACGCTTTATTTATGTAATTGCATGCTTCCAGAAGAACTGTTCAACAGTACCTGACAGAATAGGGTCCATCTTCTGAAAAACAGTTGCTCCAAGACCCGAGCCATTCCCCTGTGACTTTATCAAAAACCTGGATTCTTTTGTTGTCTCTATCTGCAACCCATACCTGTTAAGAACAAAAATCATGGCCATTCACAAATAGAACAAATCAAATGCATTAGTTTCTTACACAAGCAAAGTATCCTGTAGTAAAAAAGAAGTACACCTTGGAAGAATGTACCTCCTCATTCAAAACTAAGGAAGTAGATATGACTTCCAGATATAAAACAAAACCGCCACATAGTTAAGATACACAAATTATTTTATACAACTGTAACAGAGAAATCAGAGCCTTCTCTTCATTTTTGTGGCTATGGTATGGATATATTTAGTAGGATTTCCACCCCCTCCAGTGAGGACATATTCCCACTTATTTAATTCTAAAGATACCGGTCTGCCACCCGCTAACAATGTATTTTTCATCAGCAGTCTCATTTCATGATCTAGGCCTATGATGACTGCACCTGCAAAGACTCTGATATGCCTAATACTGCTATAAATACTGAGCAACTTAAACACTAAATGCATTTTCAGCATATTTTGTCTAACTAGTTTTGCTCTGTTCCACCCTGTGCTAACTGGTTCACAAACACTGCAAGCTAGCAGTACTATTAGACAGTTTCAGTGAAAGCCTCTCTTGTATTACAAACGTTTAAATTTCAGCTGGTAAGTAGAGCTTCATGACTTTTCTGGGATATCACCTGGAAGGGAGCAATAAACAAGATTACCTGAGATCTTCCACCCCTATTTTTAAGTGAATCACTACTAGGGCAGTCTCTTAGATTTCTTAGGAATTAACAATTCTTTCTAACCTAGGCTGATGATCAACACCACATTGGCAATAAAACTGTAGCTCATCGCAACTGCCATCTTTGAATGTATATACTCATGGTTATCCTTCAACGCAAAGTAGCCATGTCCTTCCTCTTCGCCCTCTCGCCCTGCCAGTTTTGGCAGAGAATTGATTTTTATATATGCTTCTTATTCTGGTTCAGACAGCATCAGCAGAATTAGTTCAAACAACAGCAGCAGAACAAAATCTACACTATGATTAGCACCTGCAGGTAGACTCTTGAATGTCTTGAGCTGCATGTAGAGAAGGACTGATTTTGACAACCTAGCTAGAGCCTTACTATCACCTTAAGCTTATTTGGACTTTCCAAATATTAAATTAAAGCCCCCTGAAGAAACGTAAGGGCTTGGGTAGATATTTATGACAGAACATAGTTCTCCTGTACTCTCACAATGGCAACTTGTTAGAAGCTGCAGGAGGAACAGTTTGTTGCTGTGTGGACACTGACATCATAACCGGTCAGAAACCTTGCGTTAACCTCGCAGCCGGCTACTTCAGTAGGATCTGCAGTGTGAAACTTCAGCTTAGGACCACTATAGCACTGAAAACTGTAACCCACATAAAATGACCCATATCACAACAGTTCAGTTAAAAAAGAAATAAAATTTGTTTTGTACAAACATATGTAAACAAGTGTGTCGGAAGATGAAAAAAAACCCTGCCAACGTTCTCTCTTTATTCTTTACCCGTCCAAAAGGATCCAGTGTTACACTGTGAGGAATCTTGAACTGACCAATGCCGGTCCCATTTGTTCCAGTCAGCCATATCTCTTTGTAATCTAAACAGTGAGCACCATGAAAAAAATAAAAGTAAAAAAAAAAAAAAATCACAGTAAGAAAACAACAAGTAAAACAGCTTTAAGTCATTCCCTTGCAAACTTACTTTGATAAATTTTTTAAAAGGTGGAATTTCTAAACCCAGGCTTTTTAAACACAGTACTCCCAACACGTAAATCCAAGAAATACTGGGACTACTAGAGGGACTACTGGATTGTTACTAGCGGATTCAGGATTATGGTGACAGAAACGTAGCCACTAGTACAAAAAAGCCATAGTCCCAGGCTCTGTTAAGCACTGCATTAAAAGAAGAAAAAAAAAATGAACAGTTGGCTGATTATTATATTCGTTTACTAAATTGATTTTTTTTTTTTTTACATTTGTCACCTGGCAGTTTTGAGTTTTAACAATTTACTAGGTATCAACAAACTGACTCTTTTATGATAGCGTAAAGGAGAAATCGTAGCTCCTTCACTTCTCCCCAACTGAAGATATGCACAGGCTCATCACTCAGAGCCCTGCCCAACACTGAACACCTAATTGGGGAATATGAGCAAGCGCATTAGAATCACAGAATAATTTAAGTATAAAAGATCTCCAGACACCATCAAGTGCAACGTGCTTCTCACAGCAAGACTAGCCTTGTCAACAAATCGAAATCATGGAACTGTTGGAGCGGGTCCAGAGGAGGGCTACTAAAACGATCCAAGGGCTAGAGCACCTCTCTTATGAGGACAGGCTGAGAGAGTTGGGCTTGTTCAGCCTGGAGAAGAGAAGGCTGCAGAGAGACCCGATTGCGGCCTTTCAGTACTTAAAGGGAGTCTATAGGAAAGATGGGGACAATCTTTTTAGCAGGGACAGCTGTGACAGGACAAGGGGTAATGGTTTTAAACTAAACCAGGGTAGGTTTAGACTAGATATAAGGAAGAAATTCTTTACAATGAGGGTGGTGAAACACTGGAATGGGTTGCCCAGAGATGTGGTGGGGGCCCCATCCCTGGAAACATTCAAGGCCAGGTTGGACAGGGCTCTGAGCAACCTGATCTAGTTAGGGGTGTCTCTGCTCACTGCAGGGGGGTTGGGCTAGATGACCTCTAGGGGTCCCTTCCAACCCAGAACATTCTATGACTCTGAAGTTAGGTCAAGTTGTTCATAACTTATCAAGTTCTGAGCATCTCTAAGACTGAAGACTGCACATCCTCTCTGGGCAAACTATTCCCTGTCTGATCACCCTCACTGTGAATCTTTTGCTCAAAAAAATTGAACTGGAATTCCCCCCTCTTGCACCTTTTTCTCCCCGTTCCTCATTCTTTACTGTGCATCTCCAAGAAATGTGTGGCTCTGCCTTCTCTATAACCTCCCATTGCTGACTTGAAGATGACAATAGGAATCCTCCTCAGCCTTCTCTCTTGAAGACTGAACAAACTCGTTCTCTCAGCCTCTTGTCACAAATGATTAAGAGATTTCTCCTGAAGTGACAAGCAGTAAAACAGGACCTGATTCAACAAAGTCTTCAAACTAATGTTAAATGACAGCTCTACTAGTCCTTGCTTAAAAGCATTCTCAAGCTGTATTATTTAAAATTCAATTTTCAACGGTCAACGACTACGGAAGTTCATTTTTCCATACCATTGGATAGTTTGAGCAATCTGTTATTCATTCCTCCGTCTCCATCCACAACATAGACATCTCCACTTTCCTCTACAAAGATCTCTGCTGGCTGATCGAATTGTAGGGGAATCAAACTTGAACCAGCATTACCTGGCGTGCCCAAGATCTGCATAAGTTTACCCGAAGGGCTATACTGCTTCACAGTGTGCCCATATTTCCCTGAATTAGGGGGAAAAAAAAAAAAAAAGTGCAAAACCATCTTAAAACAAAATATAAGTATTACAATTGATTACAAAGATTAAAAAAGAAAAATCTCCTGATACTCACAAGTGATATTAATAAATCAAACAGACAAAATTCTATAGTGAGATTGTGACTATGGGTCAGTAAATCCATAGGCTACAACAATATTCATCCATTGTATTAGGGCCACCAAAACTAGAAGATAAGTCTAGCCAGAAGATTTTTTTTTTCCCCTGATATTTCTCCTGGGAAAAAACAAACAAACAAAACCAAAAAAACCAAAACAAAAAAACTTGCTCACTAAGTTCAGAAGCTATAAGCAGACACACAGCACAACTCATGAGCCTTCAGAGTATTTTGTCCAGCACCCCAGAAGTTTGTTCATGGCAAGAAAAGCACAAATCCATCTCAGAATTGAGGGACTTAAATAAATTACTTGTTTAAAGTAATATCTGCAATATTAGCATTTTCTTTCCCACCTCATACTTCTCATATCACCACTACGCATACCTGTTCCAACATCTGTGATCCATACTGAACTATCTGTTGCGGTATTCAATACAAAGATACCATGGGGCATTTCAACTGTATTATTCCAGGAGTAAAGAAAATAGCCTTCCTCTGAGAATACAAGTACCTTTGGTACATTCTCTCCCCTCTGAAAAGGCAAAACAAGGTTTATTAAGAAAACATATTAAGCAAGTAATCATATTTCTGAAAACTCCTCTTTAAGATTTTTGCAACATCTCATGAATCCTATGAGTCTCCTGAGATTGCCTGCTAGATGTCATTTTTTCCAGCTGGTGGAGAGTCAGAGAGAGAAGGGTCTAAGTTTAGCATGCAAAACCTTCCACTCATTCTAGACTTTCAATTTAAAGCATGTACAGTCCAATTTTCAGAGCAGCCAAGCTCCTGCAGCTATCTTGGTCCTCATTTTCAGTCACGTTTTTATGTTCTTGATGAAAAATATGCCAAGCATAACACAGGCATGAAAACCCATAACTGTACTTATTAGCTGGATGGCACTCAAGTACTCATACTGTGCTTTATAATTAAATCCCGCCACTTTCCATGGAGAGAATGTCATACTTGTGACATAGAGAAACCAATGCATGGAACTGGGTAAAGCAAAAAAACCAATAAACTCTAATTACTGTAACTGGCTGAAAGAGCTGCATGTTTTTTATTTCATGGGACACTTTAAAGGCAAAAATATACTAGGTTAACACAGAGAGTAACACAGTATTCTCACTCACTTGTCCCACAAAGACCAAACCATGAAGAGAGTCAACAGCAACACAAAATGTTTGACCAGTGAAGTACTCTGGAATTTTAGGCCAGCCTATGTCCAGCTTGTACATCTGTTGCTGTCCCTTCCATGGGACAGCTTTTAAAACCTGAAAATACAAAAATAAATATCCATTAATAGTTAAATCCCACAATGGTGGGATCAGAAAACAGCAGTAGAAAGTAACTTTGTACTGAAGCACCATAAATTGATTTATTCAACTTAAATTAAGAAGAAAGATAAATAGAAGCAGGCTTGTAGGTTTTGAATTGCAAATGGGAAAGTTTCAACAAACTGGAAATGAGCTTATCAAGTCCTTCGGATTGGGGAGCTCTGGAATCAGAAGGCAAAAAACAGCCTGAAATTTCTTACACTGAGGTTGTTATTATGATCTGTAAATCACATTCCAAAATGAGGAAAATAGTAGAGAAGGTTCCAAATGCAACAGAGTCAACAATGACTTCAAGAAGGTGTGAAAATAAGAAGAATAATCAGAATAAACGTAAAATACAGGTCAAGAAAAAACTACATCTTAGAAATGGAATGGTAAGAACGGCAAAACTCAGGTCAACATATGTATTTTAAAGGATAATGGAAAAAGATAATCTTGCACCTTTTTGTTCTATTTTTCCAGCAGAAGAACCACAACTGCGGTTCTGCAGCAAGTACTGGATGGAGACCAAAGCACCGAAATGGAAAGATCAGGCTGGAACTAAGACGCAACAAGTGGCGACCCTGAAGGCCCAGGGCCACTTCACGTTTCTGGTAACCGCCTTGCCAGAAGCAGGAGCGAGCTGATGACAGAGAACTACCAACAGCCGAAGAAAGACGAGGCCACGACGACGGAAAACCGGGAATAATTAAGCAGGGAGAGAATCCGACAGCGACAAGTGCAACGCTGCCCACCCACAGGTTATGAAGTTTATCCTCGTTTAAGGAGAGCAAATCGCTTGGAAACCTCCGAAAAAGAAACACCCAGCGCACGCGTTCACCTCAGCAGGGCTGTGAAGTGACAGAAGGAAGCCTCCCCCCTAAAACGACCTAAGCCAGAAGAGGCGCGGGAAGGCACCAGGGCGAACCGGATCCCGGGGCCCTGTCCGCACCCCTGCGCTCCGGCGGGTCCCCGCGCAGACCGGGGACAGGCAGGTG